ACCCCCTCACCAACCCCCTCACTCACCCCTCACCAACCCCCCCCACTCACTCACCCATCCACTCACTCACCCCCTCACTAAACCCCTCACTCACCCACCCCCTCACTCACTCACCCCCTCACCAACCCCCTCACTCACTCACTCACCCCCTCACTCACTCACCCCCTCACTCACCCCCTCACCAACCCCCTCACTCACCCCCTCACTCACTCACCCCCTCACTAAACCCTTCACTCACCCACCCCCTCACTCACTCACCCCCTCACCCACCCCCTCACTCACCCCCTCACCAACCCCCTCACTCACTCACCCCTTCACCAACCCCCTCACTCACCCCCTCACTCACCCCCTCACCAACCCCCTCACTCACCCCCTCACTCACCCCCTCACCAACCCCCTCACTCACTCACCCACTCATCCCCTCACTCACCCCCTCACCAACCCCCTCACTCACTCACCCCCTCACCAACCCCCTCACTCACCTACCCCCTCACCCTCTCACCCCCTCACTCATCCCCTCACCAACCCCCTCACTCACCCCCTCACTCACCCCCTCACTCACCCCCTCACCCACCCCCTCACTCACCCCCTCACCAACCCCCTCACTCACCCCCTCACTCACTCACCCCCACACTCACCCCTTCACTCACCCACCCCTTCACCAACCCCCTCACCCCCCCACTCACCCCCTCACCAATCCCCTCACTCACTCACCCCCTCACCAACCCCCTTACTCACCCCCTCACTCACCCACCCCTCACTCACCCCCTCACTCACCCCCTCACCAATCCCCTCACTCACTCACCCCCTCACCAACCCCCTCACTCACCCCCTCACCAACCCCCTCAGTCACCCCCTCACTCACCCCCTCACTCACCCCCTCACCAACCCCCTCACTCACTCACCCCTTCACCAACCCCCTCGCTCACCCCCTCACTCACCCCCTCACCAACCCCCTCACTCACTCACCCCCTCATCCCCTCACTCACCCCCTCACCAACCCCCTCACTCACTCACCCCCTCACCAACCCCCTCACTCACCTACCCCCTCACCCCCTCACTCATCCCCTCACCAACCCCCTCACTCACCCCCTCACTCACTCACCCCTTCACCAATCCCCTCACCCCCTCACTCACCCCCTCACCAATCCCCTCACTCACTCACCCCCTCACCAACCCCCTTACTCACCCCCTCACTCACCCACCCCTCACTCACCCCCTCACTCACCCCCTCACCAATCCCCTCACTCACTCACCCCCTCACCAACCCCCTAACTCACCCCCTCACCAACCCCCTCAGTCACCCCCTCACTCACCCCCTCACTCACCCCCTCACCAATCCCCTCACTCACTCACCCCCTCACCAACCCCCTCACCAACCCCCTCACTCACCCCCTCACTCACCCCCTCACTCACCCCTTCACCAATCCCCTCACTCACTCACCCCCTCACAAACCCCCTCACTCACCCCCTCATCCCCTCACTCACCCCCTCACCAACCCCCTCACTCACTCACCCCCTCACCAATCCCCTCACTCACTCACCCCCTCACCAACCCCCTCACCAACCCCCTCACTCACCCCGTCACCAACCCCCTCACTCACCCCCTCACTCACCCCCTCACCAACCCCCTCACTCACCCCCTCACTCACCCCCTCACCAACCCCCTCACTCACTCACCCCCTCATCCCCTCACTCACCCCCTCACCAACCCCTCACTCACTCACCCCCTCACCAACCCCCTCACTCACCTACCCCCTCACCCCCTCACTCATCCCCTCACCAACCCCCTCACTCACCCCCTCACTCACCCCCTCACCCACCCCCTCACTCACCCCCTCACCAACCCCCTCACTCACCCCCTCACTCACTCACCCCCTCACTCACCCCCTCACTCACTCACCCCTTCACCAACCCCCTCACCCCCTCACTCACCCCCTCACCAATCCCCTCACTCACTCACCCCCTCACCAACCCCCTTACTCACCCCCTCACTCACCCACCCCTCACTCACCCCCTCACCAATCCCCTCACTCACTCACCCCCTCACCAACCCCCTCACTCACCCCCTCACCAACCCCCTCAGTCACCCCCTCACTCACCCCCTCACTCACCCCCTCACCAATCCCCTCACTCACTCACCCCCTCACCAACCCCCTCACCAACCCCCTCACTCACCCCCTCACCAACCCCCTCACTCACCCCCTCACTCACCCCCTCACTCACCCCTTCACCAATCCCCTCACTCACTCACCCCCTCACCAACCCCCTCACTCACCCCCTCACCAACCCCCTCAGTCACCCCCTCACTCACCCCCTCACTCACCCCCTCACCAATCCCCTCACTCACTCACCCCCTCACGAACCCCCTCACCAACCCCCTCACTCACCCCCTCACCAACCCCCTCACCAACCCCCTCACTCACCCCCTCACCTACCCCCTCACTCACCCCCTCACCCCCTCACTCACCCCCTCACCAACCCCCTCACTCACTCACCTCCTCACAAACCCCCTCACTCACTCACCCCCTCATCCCCTCACTCACCCCCTCACCAACCCCCTCACCCACGCACCCTCTCACTCATCCCCTCACCAACCCCCTCACTCACCCCCTCACTCACCCCCTCACTCACCCCCTCACTCACCCCCTCACCAACCCCCTCACTCACTCACCCCCTCACTCACCCCCTCACTCACTCACCCCTTCACCAACCCCCTCACCCCCCCACTCACCCCCTCACCAATCCCCTCACTCACTCACCCCCTCACCAACCCCCTTACTCACCCCCTCACTCACCCACCCCTCACTCACCCCCTCACTCACCCCCTCACCAATCCCCTCACTCACTCACCCCCTCACCAACCCCCTAACTCACCCCCTCACCAACCCCCTCACTCACCCCCTCACTCACCCCCTCACCAATCCCCTCACTCACTCACCCCCTCACCAACCCCCTCACTCACTCACCCCCTCACCAATCCCCTCACTCACTCACCCCCTCACCAACCCCCTCACCAACCCCCTCACTCACCCCGTCACCAACCCCCTCACTCACCCCCTCACTCACCCCCTCACTCACCCCTTCACCAATCCCCTCACTCACTCACCCCCTCACAAACCCCCTCACTCACCCCCTCATCCCCTCACTCACCCCCTCACCAACCCCCTCACTCACTCACCCCCTCACCAACCCCCTCACTCACCTACCCCCTCACCCCCTCACTCATCCCCTCACCAACCCCCTCACTCACCCCCTCACTCACCCCCTCACCAACCCCCTCACTCACCCCCTCACTCACTCCCTCACTCACCCCCTCACTCACTCACCCCTTCACCAACCCCCTCACCCCCTCACTCACCCCCTCACCAATCCCCTCACTCACTCACCCCCTCACCAACCCCCTTACTCACCCCCTCACTCACCCACCCCTCACTCACCCCCTCACCAATCCCCTCACTCACTCACCCCCTCACCAACCCCCTCACTCACCCCCTCACCAACCCCCTCACTCACTCACCCCCTCACTCACTCACCCCCTCACCAACCCCCTCACTCACCCCCTCACCAACCCCCTCAGTCACCCCCTCACAAACCCCCTCACTCACCCCCTCATCCCCTCACTCACCCCCTCACCAACCCCCTCACTCACTCACCCCCTCACCCACCCCCTCACTCACCTACCCCCTCACCCCCTCACTCATCCCCTCACCAACCCCCTCACTCACCCCCTCACTCACCCCCTCACCAACCCCCTCACTCACCCCCTCACTCACTCACCCCCTCACTCACCCCCTCACTCACTCACCCCTTCACCAACCCCCTCACCCCCTCACTCACCCCCTCACCAATCCCCTCACTCACTCACCCCCTCACCAACCCCCTTACTCACCCCCTCACTCACCCACCCCTCACTCACCCCCTCACCAATCCCCTCACTCACTCACCCCCTCACCAACCCCCTCACTCACCCCCTCACCAACCCCCTCACTCACTCACCCCCTCACTCACTCACCCCCTCACCAACCCCTCACTCACCCCCTCACCAACCCCCTCAGTCACCCCCTCACTCACCCCCTCACTCACCCCCTCACCAATCCCCTCACTCACTCACCCCCTCACGAACCCCCTCACCAACCCCCTCACTCACCCCCTCACCAATCCCCTCACTCACTCACCCCCTCACTCACCCCCTCACCAACCCCCTCACCAACCCCCTCACTCACCCCCTCACTCACCCCCTCACCAATCCCCTCACTCACTCACCCCCTCACTCACCCCCTCACCAACCCCCTCACCAACCCCCTCACTCACCCCCTCACTCACCCCCTCACCCCCTCACTCACCCCCTCACCAACCCCCTCACCAACCCCCTCACTCACCCCCTCACCCCCTCACTCACCCCCTCACCAACCCCCTCACTCACTCACCCCCTCACAAACCCCCTCACTCACTCACCCCCTCATCCCCTCACTCACCCCCTCACCAACCCCCTCACCCCCTCACCCCCTCACTCACTCACCCCCTCACTCACCCCCTCACCAACCCCCTCACTCACCCCCTCACTCACCCCCTCACTCACTCACCCCCTCACTCACCCCCTCACTCACTCAGCCACCCACCCACCCACTCACCGTCGTGGTGTGTTTATACACGAAACAATGTCCTCTTGTGGAGTGCAGGAGGTCCGACGTTCCGTGCCGCTAACACGGACAGGCGACTGCGCGCGGCTGTGATCACGTGACGCATTCGCAGGGCGGCAGGGTCTTCCGGAAGATGTCCCGCGCCACGCGTGAAACGGCCGGAAGAGTCTTCCGGAAGATGTCCCGCGCCACGCTTGAGACTGGCCGGAAGAGTCTTCCGGAAGATGTCCCGCGCCACGCTTGAGACTGGCCGGAAGGGTCTTCCGGAAGATGTCCCGCGCCACGCTTAAGACGGCCGGAAGAGTCTTCCGGAAGATGGCCCGCGAGTCTTGAAGGGCACGTGACACGTGAGACAATCAACCCGCTGGGAGGTGTAACAGCAACGATAACAACAGCAGAAACAACAACAGCAGCAGTAGAGGCGCCGTTCCACGTGTGCACACCCAAGGACAAAGACGCCTCGCTGGGGGTGAGTGTGGGGGACGAGTGGGTCACCCACGTGGATAGAGCCTGGGGCGGGCCTAGAACTGGTCGGTGACTGTGTGTGTGGTGTGATGTGTGTGGGGTTGTGTGTGTGGTGTGTGGTGTGTGTGTGGTGTGTGTGTGACTGTGTGTGTGGTGTGTGTGTGACTGTGTGTGTGGTGTGTGTGGTGTGTGTGTGGTGTGTGTGACTGTGTGTGTGGTCTGTGTGTGTGTGGTGTGTGTGTGGTGTGTGTGGTGTGTGTGACTGTGTGTGGTGTGTGTGTGTGGTGTGTGTGTGGTGTGGTGTGTGTGTGATGTGTCTGTGGTGTGTGTGTGATGTGTGTGTGGTGTTTGTGGTGTGTGTGTGTGGTGTGTGTGTGACTGTGTGTGTGGTCTGTGTGTGTGTGGTGTGTGTGTGGTGTCTGTGAGTGTGTGTGGTGTCTGTGTGTGGTGTGTGTGTGGTGTGTGTGTGGTGTATGTGTGGGGTGTGTGTGTGACTGTGTGTGTGGTGTGTGTGACTGTGTGGTGTGTGTGTGGTGTCTGTGTGTGTGGTGTGTGTCTGTGTGTGGTGTGTCTGTGGTGTGTGTGTGATGTGTGTGACTGTGTGTGTGGTGTGTGACTGTGTGTGGTGTGTGTGTGGTGTGTATGTGTGATGTGTCTGTGGTGTGTGTGTGATGTGTGTGACTGTGTGTGTGGTGTGTGACTGTGTGTGGTGTGTGTGTGGTGTGTGTGACTGTGTGTGTGGCGTGTGACTGTGTGTGTGTGGTGTGTGACTGTGTGTGGTGTGTGTGATGTGTCTGTGGTGTGTGTGACTGTGTGTGGTGTGTGACTGTGTGTGGTGTGTGTGTGATGTGTGACTGTGTATGTGGTGTGTAACTGTGTGTGATGTTTCTGTGGTGTGTGTGGTGTGTGTGATGTGTCTGTGGTGTGTGTGACTGTGTGTGGTGTGTGACTGTGTGTGTGGTGTGTGACTGTGTGTGGTGTGTGTGTGGTGTGTGTCTGACTGTGTGTGGTGTGTGACTGTGTGTGGGTCTGCCCCGTGACCTCCTGCCAGCGGGCGTTCGACACTTCACGTGGCCTCAGGGTGCACATAGCCTGGCACAAGCGTCGTGGTGACGTCACCGCCACTTAGTGGCGAATGGCGGTTGTTGTTGTTGTTGTGGTGTGTGACTGTGTGTGTGGTGTGTGTCTGCGTTTTATTGATGGTTTCGCTCGAATAGTTGGTCAACACAGCAGCTGATAATGCAAATGATAGTTATAATTCGCATTTAATAATCCGTGGCTTAGCTGATGTGAGTGGAGTTTGTGTGATCTCCCCCTGTTCTACAGATGAGTGACTGGAGTTTGTGTGATCTCCCCCTGTTCTACAGATGAGTGGAGTTTGTGTGATCTCCCCCTCTTCTAAAGATGAGTGAGTGGCGTTTGTGTGATCTCCCCCTGTCCTACAGAGTGAGTGGAGTTTGTGTGATCTCCCCCTGTCGTACAGAGTGAGTGGAGTTTGTGTGATCTCCCCCTGTTCTACAGAGTGAGTGAGTGGAGTTTGTGTGATCTCCCCCTGTTCTACAGAGTGAGTGAGTGGAGTTTGTGTGATCTCCCCCTGTTCTACAGATGAGTGAGTGGAGTTTGTATGATCTCCCCCTGTTCTATAGATGAGTGAATGGAGTTTGTATGATCTCCCCCTGTTCTACAGATGAGTGAGTGGAGTTTGTATGATCTCCCCCTGTTCTACAGATGAGTGAATGGAGTTTGTATGATCTCCCCCTGTTCTACAGATGAGTGAGTGGAGTTTGTATGATCTCCCCCTGTTCTACAGATGAGTGACTGGAGTTTGTGTGATCTCCCCCTGTTCTACAGAGTGAGTGAGTGGAGTTTGTGTGATCTCCCCCTGTTCTACAGATGAGTGAGTGGAGTTTGTGTGATCTCCCCCTGTTCTACAGATGAGTGAGTGGAGTTTGTGTGATCTCCCCCTGTTCTACAGATGAGTGAGTGGAGTTTGTGTGATCTCCCCCTGTTCTACAGATGAGTGAGTGGAGTTTGTGTGATCTCCCCCTGGTCTACAGATGAGTGAGTGGAGTTTGTGTGATCTCCCCCTGTTCTACAGATGAGTGAGTGGAGTTTGCGCGATTTCCCCCTGTTCTACAGATGAGTGAGTGGCGTTTGTGTGATCTCCCGCTGTTCTACAGAGTGAGTGAGTGGGGGTTGTGTGATCTCCCCTGTTCTACAGATGAATGAGTGGAGTTTGTGTGATCTCCCCCTGTTCTACAGATGAGTGAGTGGAGATTGTGTGATCTCCCCCTGTTCTACAGAGTGAGTGAGTGGAGTTTGTGTGATCCCCCCCTGTTCTACAGAGTGAGTGGAGTTTGTGTGATCTCCCCCTGTTCTACAGATGAGTGAGTAGAGTTTGTGTGATCTCCCCCTGTTCTACAGAGTGAGTGAGTGGAGTTTGTGTGATCTCCCCCTGTTCTACAGAGTGAGTGGAGTTTGTGTGATCTCCCCCTGTTCTACAGATGAGTGAGTGGAGTTTGTGTGATCTCCCCCTGTTCTACAGATGAGTGAGTGGAGTTTGTGTGATCTCCCCCTGTTCTTCAGATGAGTGCGTGGAGTTTGTGTGATCTCCCCCTGTTCTACAGATGAGTGAGTGGAGTTTGTGTGATCTCCCCCTGTTCTGCAGATGAGTGACTGGAGTTTGTGTGATCTCCCCCTGTTCTACAGATGAGTGAGTGGAGATTGTGTGATCTCCCCCTGTTCTACAGATGAGTGGAGTTTGTGTGATCTCCCCCTGTCCTACAGATGAGTGAGTGGAGTGTGTGTGATCTCCCCCTATTCTACAGATGAGTGAGTGGAGTTTGTGTGATCTCCCCCTGTTCTACAGAGTGAGTGAATGGAGTTTGTATAATCTCCCCCTGTTCTACAGATTGAGTGAGTGGAGTTTGTATGATCTCACTCTGTTCTACAAAGTGAGTGAGTGAGTGGAGTTTGTGTGATCTCCCCCTGTCCTACAGATGAGTGAGTGGAGTTTGTGTGATCTCCCCCTGTTCTACAGATGAGTGAGTGGAGTTTGTGATCTCCCCCTGTTCTACAGATGAGTGAGTGGAGTTTGTGTGGACCATCTTCAGAGTCAGTGGAGGAGGCTCGTGAAGGACGCTGCTACTGGGCAGTTTGAGGCAGTCGCCCTCCTGCAACAACGGAGTGCAGAGGAGCGGCAGCAGGCTCAGTGAGTCGACCCGTGGCACCTGGGTCTGTCCCTTGACCTCCTGCCAGCACCAGGCGTTCGACACTTCACGTGACCTTCAAGTGCACTTATAGCCGTGACTTAGAGCTTTTGTGACTGCAGGAATTCATATTCTTTGGGTCTTACGGTAAGTCACTTATCTACGTGACTTTACCGAAAGATCCAAAGAATATGCACGTAGCCTGCCGCTTGTTGTTGTTGATGGTGCTGACGGAGGTGACGGTGTTGGAGGTAATGGCGTTGGTGTCGCTGATGGCGTTGGTGACGGTGTTAGAGGTGATGCTGACGGCGGTGACGGTTGTGACGTTACAGGTTTGCTCCCCGCACGGCCACCGTCGCTCGGGAACGAGGAGAGCGACCGAAGAGCTCCGATGGAGCGGGAAGGGAGAGGAGAGCGAGGAGGGAAAAGAAGTCAGGGCAGAGAGGAGGAGCCTCAAATTACGGAAGAGCAAGAAGGGAGAGATGACGGACATCAAGACGCCCAGAGGGGAGAGCGTGCAGTGAGGTGGGCCGAGGGCAAGAGGGAGGAGCAGAGGCAGGACGCGGACAGGGCCAGGTGGGTGCGAGCGGGGGCCAGAAGGAAAGTCGCGGGAGGGGTGGGTGGAGAGAGACAGGTCGAAGGCAGAGCGAGAGACACAGAGAGGAGAGACAGAGAGAGGAGGGATAGAGAGGCGGGGGAGATGGGGGGGAGAGGCAGGGACGATGGGGGAGGGATGGGGCAAGGCCGGAGAGATCAGAGGGATATACACATAAAAATGCCATTGAGATTATAGATCGAGTCTTATCGGACTTGCCACGTGGGAGATGATGTGAGGGGTACGGAAGGAGGACAAATTTGTAAGGGGTAGATTCACAAAGAGACCCATAGATTAGCATCCTCATCTAGCCACTCACTTGTCCGCTCACCAACTCACCCGGCGACTCACCCACTGACTCATCCACCCACTCACTCATCCACCCACCCACTCACCCAACAACTTACCCACCCACCCACTCACCCAGACACTCAACCACCCATATATCATGTTGGGTATTTTATATCAAATGTTTATTGTTTTGGCCATTAAACGTCAGTGTCGTAGTGGTCGCACAGCATGAGTTATAATCCTGGACAGCCGGCATCACAAACCCCTCCACCACCACCGATGTGTTCCTCGTGGAAACAAATCTGAAATTAATTTCGCATTCCTCAGGTCGTGCGAGATTAAATCAAACGGAAGGGCTTCACAGCCGAGGCAAGGTGAAAGGGGTTCACTGCCTCGCGACGCAGTATCGTCCGCTCGCTTTGCTCGTCAATACCGAAGAAACGACGCACGGCCGTGATCTTTTGGGAAGCGTCTGTGGTGTGATCGCAGTCAAAGCAGTCATAATGGGCAGTCGATCGTCAGGACGCACGTGTGGTGGTGGTGGGGTAAAGTGTGGGCACTCTCGCCTATTTCAACAAGCAGATGGATAGCTTGGAAGTGTAGGGCCCAGATGCCCCTCGAGAGGAGCTCACCGCAGCATCTTCTGTTGGAGGTCCGTCCCACCCGGGGGGCCGTGGCACAAGCGACACGTTGCAGAGCTGCGCCTTTGCCTTTGTCTCACGACGCGTTGCAGATGAGCTGTGGCAACTGCGGTGGCTGTCGCACTCAAATTTGAACCCCGTGGGGCCGGAGTTACATTCGTCAGCGCCCCTGTCGCCCCCTGGTGGACGAACAGCGCCTGGCTGCCGTCCGTCCCGAGTTTTGAGGATCTTTCTGAGAGTGTTTGGGTCATTTTTCCTGAATCGTGCGAAATCCGAGCAATTCCGAAATTCCATTCTCGCGCGCGACGGCACCAGCGATGTGCTCAGCAGCTAAATGCCGACGCTGAGGCTTGCTGGTCTTCGCGAGAGGGCTTCAGGAGAGAGGTGGTTTAGTTTTGATATTTCTCCTGCGTTGAAGGGGTGCAGACCACAGCGGTTTACTGTGTGGTCCGTAGTTTAGAGTGCATGGCCACAATAACAAATACACGTCTTCATTTGGTTCCCCATTGAGCTGTGCTTAGGCCGTCTGAGCATAAGTGACGTCTGTGGATGAAAATCGTTTGCTGCACTTGATGATGAATACAAACACTGTTGTGATTTATATACAGGATAATTCTGAATTTCTCATCTAAACTGCTGCGCGAGGTTTGCGACGCTTTAGGTGCTAAGATAATTAAAACGTCGCCGTACCACCCCCCGACAGATGGGATGGTGGAGCGCCTGAATAGAACTCTGACCTCCATGCTCTGTCAGGCGATTGACGCGGCGCAAACGGACTGGGATTTGCATGTTCCGAGTGTACTAGCTGCATATAGGATGGCCCCTCATACTTCCACGGGATTTTCACTCACCCCCTCACCTACCCCCTCACTCACCCCCTCACCAATCCCCTCACTCACTCACCCCCCTCACCAACCCCCTCACTCACCCCCTCACCAACCCCCTCACTCACCCCCTCACTCACCCCTTCACCAATCCCCTCACTCACTCACCCCCTCACAAACCCCCTCACTCACCCCCTCATCCCCTCACTCACCCCCTCACCAACCCCCTCACTCACTCACCCCCTCACTCACCCCCTCACCAATCCCCTCACTCACCCCCTCACCAACCCCCTCACCAACCCCCTCACTCACCCCCTCACCAACCCCCTCACTCACCCCCTCACTCACCCCCTCACCAACCCCCTCACTCACCCCCTCACTCACCCCCTCACCAACCCCCTCACTCACTCACCCCCTCATCCCCTCACTCACCCCCTCACCAACCCCCTCACTCACTCACCCCCTCACCAACCCCCTCACTCACCTACCCCCTCACCCCCTCACTCATCCCCTCACCAACCCCCTCACTCACCCCCTCACTCACCCCCTCACCCACCCCCTCAGTCACCCCCTCACTCACCCCCTCACTCACTCACCCCCTCACTCACCGCCTCACTCACTCACCCCTTCACCAACCCCCTCACCCCCTCACTCACCCCCCTCACCAATCCCCTCACTCACTCACCCCCTCACCAACCCCCTTACTCACCCCCTCACTCACCCACCCCTCACTCACCCCCTCACCAATCCCCTCACTCACTCACCCCCTCACCAACCCCCTCACTCACCCCCTCACCAACCCCCTCACTCACTCACTCACCCCCTCACTCACTCACCCCCTCACCAACCCCCTCACTCACCCCCTCACCAACCCCCTCAGTCACCCCCTCACTCACCCCCTCACTCACCCCCTCACCAATCCCCTCACTCACTCACCCCCTCACCAACCCCCTCACCAACCCCCTCACTCACCCCCTCACCAACCCCCTCACTCACCCCCTCACTCACCCCCTCACTCACCCCTTCACCAATCCCCTCACTCACTCACCCCCTCACCAATCCCCTCACTCACTCACCCCCTCACCAACCCCCTTACTCACCCCCTCACTCACCCACCCCTCACTCACCCCCTCACTCACCCCCTCACCAATCCCCTCACTCACTCACCCCCTCACCAACCCCCTCACTCACCCCCTCACCAACCCCCTCAGTCACCCCCTCACTCACCCCCTCACCAATCCCCTCACTCACCCCCTCACGAACCCCCTCACCAACCCCCTCACTCACCCCCTCACCTACCCCCTCACTCACCCCCTCACCAATCCCCTCACTCACTCACCCCCTCACTCACCCCCTCACCAACCCCCTCACCAACCCCCTCACTCACCCCCTCACCTACCCCCTCCCTCACCCCCTCACCCCCTCACTCACCCCCTCACCAACCCCCTCACCAACCCCCTCACTCACCCCCTCACCGACCCCCTCACTCACCCCCTCACCCCCTCACTCACCCCCTCACTCACCCCCTCACCAACCCCCTCACTCACCCCCTCACCTACCCCCTCACTCACCCCCTCACTCACCCCCTCACCAACCCCCTCACTCACTCACCCCCTCATCCCCTCACTCACTCACCCCCTCACTCACCCCCTCACCAACCCCCTCACTCACCCCCTCACCAACCCCCTCACTCACCCCCTCACTCACCCCCTCACTCACCCCCTCACTCACTCAGCCACCCACCCACCCACTCACCGTCGTGGTGTGTTTATACACGAAACAATGTCCTCTTGTGGAGTGCAGGAGGTCCGACGTTCCGTGCCGCTAACACGGACAGGCGACTGCGCGCGGCTGTGATCACGTGACGCATTCGCAGGGCGGCAGGGTCTTCCGGAAGATGTCCCGCGCCACGCGTGAGACGGCCGGAAGAGTCTTCCGGAAGATGTCCCGCGCCACGCTTGAGACGGCCGGAAGAGTCTTCCGGAAGATGTCCCGCGCCACGCGTGAGACGGCCGGAAGAGTCTTCAGGAAGATGTCCCGCGCCACGCTTGAGACGGCCGGAAGAGTCTTCCGGAAGCCGTCCCGCGCCACGCGTGAGACGGCCGGAAGAGTCTTCCGGAAGACGTCCCGCGCCACGCTTGAGACGGCCGGAAGAGTCTTCCGGAAGATGGCCCGCGAGTCTTGAAGGGCACGTGACACGTGAGACAATCAACCCGCTGGGAGGTGTAACAGCAACGATAACAACAACAGCAGAAACAACAACCACAACAGCAGAAACAACAACCACAACAGCAGAAACAACAGCAGCAGTAGAGGCGCCGTTCCACGTGTGCACACCCAAGGACAAAGACGCCTCGCTGGGGGTGAGTGTGGGGGACGAGTGGGTCACCCACGTGGATAGAGCCTGGGGCGGGCCTAGAACTGGTCGGTGACTGTATGTGTGGTGTGATGTGTGTGGGGTTGTGTGTGTGGTGTGTGTGTGTGGTGTGTGTGTGACTGTGTGTGTGGTGTGTGTGTGACTGTGTGTGTGGTGTGTGTGACTGTGTGTGTGGTGTGTGTGTGTGGTGTGTGTGACTGTGTGTGGTGTGTGTGTGATGTGTCTGTGGTGTGTGTGTGATGTGTGTGTGGTGTTTGTGGTGTGTGTGTGGTGTGTGTGTGTTGTGTGTGTGTGACTGTGTGTGTGACTGTGTGTGTGACTGTGTGGTGTGTGTGTGGTGTCTGTGTGTGTGGTGTGTGTCTGTGTGTGGTGTGTGTGATGTGACTGTGTGTGTGTGGTGTGTGTGTGATGTGTCTGTGGTGTGTGTGTGTGATGTGTGTGACTGTGTGTGTGGTGTGTGACTGTGTGTGGTGTGTGTGTGGTGTGTATGTGTGATGTGTCTGTGGTGTGTGTGTGACTGTGTGTGTGGTGTGTAACTGTGTGTGGTGTGTGTGTGGTGTGTGTGACTGTGTGTGTGTGGTGTGTGACTGTGTGTGGTGTGTGTGATGTGTCTTTGGTGTGTGTGACTGTGTGTGGTGTGTGACTGTGTGTGGTGTGTGTGTGATGTGTGACTGTGTATGTGGTGTGTAACTGTGTGTGATGTTTCTGTGGTGTGTGTGGTGTGTGTGATGTGTCTGTGGTGTGTGTGACTGTGTGTGTGTGGTGTGACTGTGTGTGTGGTGTGTGACTGTGTGTGGTGTGTGTGTGGTGTGTGTCTGACTGTGTGTGGTGTGTGA